ATCCCTGCTGCGGCCTTACCAATGCCGCATAGAGGGGAAGCATCACCTCCTTAGACCTGCTCTTGCACTTGTTAATGCATGATAGAGTGCAGTTAACTCTATTGATCACTTTGTCATATTGTTGACTCGTGTTCATCTTTGAGTCAACTATGACTCTGAGATCCCCTTCCTCTGCTGCGCTGCTTAGAAAGTCATCCCCCAGTCTGTGTGTTGGTGATTCCTTCTCCCTAGGTGCAGTACTTTGCACTTACCTTTGTTAAACAGCATCCTATTTTGTTCTGCCCACTTCTCCAGCTTGCCCAGATCTACCTGAATCTGTTTCCTGCCCTCAAGTGTATTCACTATAATTTGGTGTCATCTGTGAATTTGGACAGTGTGTTGTCCACACCCTCATCCAAGTCACTGATGAAGATATTGAACAGCACTGGTCCAAGGACCGAGCCTTGGGGAACCCCACTGCCCACATCTTTCCAGGTCGATACCGACCCACCCACCACCACTCTCTGGATGCGTCCCACTAGCCAGTTCACCACCCACCTGACCATGAAATTATCTAAGTCACAGCTGCTTAGTTTTTTTATGAGAATGGGATGTGACACTATCAAAGGCTTTTTTTTAAATCCAGGTATATGACATCTACCTCGACTCCTGCATCTAAGCAGTTTGTGACCTGGTTGTAAAAAGAAACAAGGTTTGTTGGGCAGGATCTACCTGCTACGAATCCATGGTGGTTGCCCTTCAGCATTATTTTACCTGCTGGACTCCCACAAATATAATCCTTAATCATTTTTTCAAAGGTTTTCTCAAGGATAGAGGTGAGATGAGACTAAACAGTCTATATTTACCTGGATCCTTCTTCCTCCTCTTTTTGAAAATAGGGACCCACAGTCCTTTGGGACTTGTCCTGAGCACCATGAGTGCTCAAACAGTCCTACCAGTGGTTCTGCCATGACACTGGCCAATTTTTTCAGTACCCTTGGACGAAGATCATCTGGGCCTGCTGACTTGAACACACCAAGAAGTGTCCCTTCACTAGGTCAACACTGACGGTTGGTGGGCCAGTGTCCCACCTGTGCTGGTCCATAGTTTAATTTGGAGATATATCATTATCTGTGTTCAGGAATACTGATGCAAAAAAACTCATTGAAGAGCTCAGCTTTGTTCCTCCTATCCGTCACTAATTGCTCTAGCAGGGTCAGTCCAGATCATACATGTCCACCGGCTGGGTCCAGCCCACAAACCATAAGTTTGACACCTCTGTTTTAATTTTATTTATTAATTTTTGTATTTCTATTTCTTGGGATAAGTCAAAGGCATTGGGAAGGGATGTGTGGGCAAGAAAGAAAGCTTGCATTCTTAAGGTCTCAAGATGAGATTTGGAGGCAGGTTTAAATTTGCTTTTATCAGTAACAACTAAAAGTTCTGCTTCAGGAGAATGGTATGTTTGTGTACCACGTGTTCATCTTTGAAACTACAGTCTGATGCTTTCTGTGATTTCATAAACCTGCTACTGAATTAAGCGTAGCCTTCTGATAGAGAGCCTGACTGAGTATCGATAACACTGAAAATGTTGGAGTTTTTTGCATTTTTCTCTTGGTTTGCAGAGGTCATGTAAGCCTTCTGAAGGGGTAGAGTGCTCCAGTGGGTTCTTTACTTCCTAAACAATAATTAAGCTTTCCTGAGAAACCTTTTCAGTCTCTGCCATGATAAAGGAAAGTGAACTGTGGCAAAGAAAAACTGCAATATTTCTTTTTGTTTGTAAGCTCCTCAGTACCAGGACTACCTTTTATCTTTTTGGTACATAGTACTAAGGTTATTACTTGTGCCCGACAAACGAGTGTCAAGCTTCTAGTGGTGGTGGAAGGGAAAATGGGGTTGAAAAGAGAAATTTTTGTGACTTAAAAAATAAAGTTATCTTTGAGCAAAATACCATTGTAACAAAATAAGTAAATACAAATGACATATGTTAAATAATCTTTGCTTGGGATAAGCAGCTTCTGCACTCCGTAGTTAAGATTTGGCAGTGTTAAGTAACGCCCACCAATGGCTTTTATGTATCACGACTAATCAGACCTTCACCAGGACCAAGAAAACGTCAGTCCGCTCCATGCAATGATTGCAGAGGTCACAATAACCGTGCAAGTGCAGCAGTGAGGGGCCCTCACCGTCCTTCTCGAAATCCTAATGATAAAGGGAAAGCAGTCCGGGGCCGAGAAAAGAAGGATCAACAAATCAAAGGAAAAGAGGAAAAGGTAAAAACTTGTGGGTGGCTTCATTGTATTTTTATGCCAGGATAATGGTGCAAAGGAAATTTAGTTTGAGAAAATTGATCAGCTGTAATGTGCTTTTTATATTCAAAGCAGTGTACACACAGAAAAGCTCAAAAACCATGTTAGTAGATTTGTTTATGGAGAAAGACTAACACAGAAGGGTTGAATGATTGGTTGAAGGTTTTGCCTAGATTAATTAACAGCCAGAAATAAAATTAAGTGCTGACTTTTTGCATCACTATTCTGTGGTATCCATGAGATTAACTGATTATAGCAGTAACAGGAGACTATTATTAACACGTAAAATCCACTTTTGGCTTTCCCAAATCAAAGATGTTACTGTATAAACAAAGGTCAGCACTTCCCACATAATTGTTGGAGGGACCGTCTTAATTTTTATAATGTCAAAGTGCTTGGATACCACGGTCATGTGTTTAGTAACAGAAACTATTTGGTTTTATTTTTTTAAGTGTCTAGATCCAACATGTATAAAGCATTATATGTTTTCACATGTTAAATAGTTAAGGGACAAATCCAGTAAGTAGTAAGTAATGCATGCGTTTCATACTACTTGGTAAGAAATGTTCTGCTCTCATTGAGGTCAGAGAGAGTCTCGCAGCTGGTTTCAGTAAGAACACGATTGAACCCTAATGTGTGAACTGGTAGCTTGATGCTCTATAAAGAGGGAGAATTTATCTCTCTTCAAGGTTGAGAAAAGGGGAGAAAAGCAGGACTTTAAATTCCCAACACCAAATCCTAGCTGAATAATTTATTCAATGGGAGAGGAAAGGAAGAAAGTGAGGTGTTATCTTAGAAGCTAGCTGATTACGTGGATAAAGCTTTATTGGTGCCAAATATTTAGCATTTCTGTTTTTATTTAAAAAAAATTAAATTAAACTATTTTTCTAACCTGCTCTAACAGCCACAGTATTCAGTTTACAATATATAGGATCTGAAATCACATCAACACCAAAAGATTTCACAAAATAATATATTCACAAAATATTTCACTTTCCAAAGTGAAGTTCTGACAGGAAAATCAAGAAAGAGTCTTGCTGTTTCAAAATACACATCTAGAATTTTTGTTTTGAGACCATTTTAATTTTGCATTAAATAATAGCAACGTTAATAATAACAATAATAGTAACGTGTTAATAATATTAATGTTAATAATATTATATTATATATTCTATTCTATTATCTTTATATATTATTAATAATAGTGACATGTTTATGGTTGGGAAAACAAAACCCTTCAAATGACCCAAACAGTCTTTTTCCTGGAACTTTTCTGTGCAGAGAGTTCTCAAATTTTCAGTTACTTTGAAATCTGTAAGTTCTTCTGTCCTTCTGCACAGTCTTGATTATTACTTAAAGGTACTGTGAAAACATGAGAGAGGAAAAAATGTTATGTAGGACATGAGGGCAGAATGAGACCTAGGTTTCCACAAAACTTTCAGCCACTGGTGAATATAGATTTCATAGATATTAGGGGTGGAAGAGACCTTGGAAGATCATTGAGTCCAGCCCCCTCCCCCAGGGGCAGGAAGTCTGCTTGGGTCAAAGGATCCCAGCAAGATAAAAAAGATAGTGTAGAATAAGCAGTTGTTGGGGCAGGAAATCATAGTATGGCTAAATTCTTAGAATAAATAAAATATGTATGCATGAGTTAGGCTACTTTCATAAGACTTTGAGGACCTTAAAAGTGATGGGATAATAGATACCTCAGACTTCTCCTTTACACAGTGCCATCTCCTGTTATTGTGCCCAGTCTTGCTCCATTGAAGCCAATGGCAAATAACTTGATTTCTTCAGGTTCAGAATTACGTGCCACTAGGATGACTATTCCCCTGAGCCTTGTTCATTTTTAAGTGAGAAATGTATGAATTAAAATAAATTCAAAATGTTTATTGTCATAAAGCATTGTTAAGTGAGCTTGTACAAGGCCCAAATAAAAAGTAGGACAGTTCATTTACAGTGGAATAATTAAATACTATGCAATGTAAAGCAGTGATTTTTAACTGGGGTGTCATGGGATCCTGTCTGAGTATGCCACGGGGAGCAGTGCAGTATTGGCATTGTTAGCTGTGCAAACACCTACATGGGATTCACAGGATAAACCCGGAGATTTCAAATAGGTATCTGTTCTGACCAGTTGTGGTCTTTTTAGAATTCTTTTATTTTCCCATAACCAAAAAAGTTTGTGAAAGGTAAGAGCTGGCATTTTCCAAGAGGTACCTTGGGTCAAAAAAGATTGAGAATCACTGGTATAAAGAATGCATGAATGTCATTTAACTTTGTGTTTGAATAACGCTGAACCTCCTCATGCATTAAATGTGCACATTGCCATAGTACATTATCACCCACTCTGGAAAGAAAGAATAACTACAGTTACATTTGAACTGATTTTTTTTTTCTTTAAGTCCTTGTAATATAAATAATGCCTATCTTCCATTTGTGGAAAAACAGTACCAGTTCTATAGGCTGATTCTGAAATCGGAATGTAGTTTAGTAGTTGGAAGGAATTAGATTAATCCCATGTTTCTTTTAATGGGAGTTAGGTGCCTAAGTAACTTTGTGGATCTAGGCCTGAGGCCCTACAACTATTTGAAGCAAATACACTGCAATGACTGGCAGGAGACAGTTAGAAAAATATGACTTTTATATTTCTAATAGTTAACATGTATAAAAAATATGAGAATGGGAACATAATGGGTTAGTGTTATCTAGAACAGATGCATTCCTTGCCTTGGTAGCTAAGATGACATTCAGGTTTCTTAGCCAGTTCTGAACTTTCATGTTGTTGGATAATAGTGTTGTAATTGAAAAGCCAAAATGTATATGCAGTACAGCCCTGGTATGGATTTTGTCACAACAGTTTTTTGTTTTTTGTAGAACAAATCCTCTTCTGATATTTCAGAATCTGAGCCAAAGAGATTTGATGGTACAGGATATGATAAAGATTTAGTAGAGGCTCTGGAAAGAGATATAATTTCTCAAAATCCCAATGTGCGATGGTAAGTCTGAGTGTTATCAAGCTTGTATTTTTGTGCTTTTTTTTCCCTCATCGGAGGGTGGCTGTAATTTCCAGGGTTAAAGCTTTTAATACATGGAATAATTGTATCTACAAGAGGGATTGGCAGTATTTTTGGGCAGAGTGCCAAAAATACCTGTGACCTTGACTTGTAAGATGTTGGTGTGCCAGGGCTGTATAACAGGGGAGCCATGAGGGGCCTGATCCTTGTTGTGGCAGCAGCACAGCCCTGGCCCCTTCCCAGCCATCCGCCCCAAGGCACATGTGCCAAGCAAAATGCCTTCAAGTGCCATGCTCTGGCACCCAGGCCAGGGGTTGCCTACTCCAGATTTACAAGTTTTCTTTGTGAGTTGAGTGGGTAGCTAAACTACTTTCTTTCAGTGTTTATTGAAAGAAACTTAATATGATAAAAGACCTTGCCAAATCCATGTTGTATCATGGTACATCAGCAGTGGGTCCCTTTTGAAAAAAGCAAAAAACAAGTGTGACCTCTAATTGGCGATGTATCATATTTTCTCCCATAAAACACACCCTGGAATATAATACACATCTTGTTTTTGAAAGGCAAAAAGAAAAAAGATTTTTCTATAGTTTTCATTGCATGCAGCTCAATTTGGGCAGGCTGTTTTTTGTGGGGGTATATTATATGTGAAAAAAATACAGTAATTTCTTTTATAGTTGCCTTTACAAACAGCTTCAAAATCCAAATTCATACAAAAACAGCTTTATTGCTCAGCTCCCTTGTATTCAGACTATCACAAGACTAGGAGGTTTTTGTGACGATTCGGTGAGAAAAGCTTGTGGCTAATAGGCTTTTTAGAAATGGTTGTACTTTTTGTGTATCAATATAAAAAGGGAAGATAAATATTTATATACTAAGCTGAAGTGTGTGGTTTTTTTTTTCCTTGATTTTACGCCAATTCAAACTTTAGATTGGAATTTAAACGTTCTTAGAGCAAATGTAGACTGTTCCTAATGTCTGTGTGGCCGTGCACTGTGTGCGCCTGCCACTTGCAGCCGGTGGGTTGCGTACGGGGGGGTATAGACCCCGGCCCCAGGAAGGGGGCGGTGATAGGTGCAACCAGTGGGTTGCGTGCGGGGTATATGGACCCCGGCCCCAGTGTGAGGGGGCAGCGAGGAGGCGCCCCAGTGTGAGGGGGCAGCGATAATTTAAAGGGGGGAGGTGTGTGGCAGTGCACTGTATGTGCCTGCCACTTTAAGGGCCTGGAGCTGGCAGCCTCCAGGTGCCTGACT